TCTAGGGTGTCCATTTTTTTATAACGAGAAAACGTCAGTAATTGCGATAATTTAAAAACTCAACTTTTTAACACATAACACGCCATAACTGAAGAACCACTTTAGAAACTTTTTTTTTATTTTGAAGATCGGATCTTTTACAATATGTTTAAATAAGATAAATTCGACGAGGTTGCTCTTTTCCATTTAAAAATTTTAAATAACCCATCCATTTCCTTTTAGTGCATAGCAATTTTAAGCAATCGTGTAACTTTTTCATTTATAAAGATTTTCACATACTATCTGCGAAGAAAATATAGCAGAAATATTAAGAAAGGTTCTGAAAAAATCTACAATCAATTATTTCTAATAGATTTCGAGATAATGATTTTGAATTCAGAGTTCTAATAGCGCAATCACTGTCGAACACTAACTCAATTCCACTTATTTTTACCAAAAATGCAAGTGTTTCTAACTTGCACTTAAACATTTTAAGCTATAGGGAAAATTACAACGACTCGTTAATAAATAAACAAATAAAATATCACGAGACGTAATTAATTCGTGAAGCTGAACCCATGATGTACACATTTCCCTAGAACTTTAAGTACTGACAGAGGTACTGATTGGGTCGCCCGGCCAACTGCGACAAATCTGCTATATCCCCTTCCACGACTCTTAGCAATGTGTACAGTTTCTCGGTTTATTTCATACGTTTGGCAACGTGTTTACTGTTCTCTCTTTGTTCAGTACATTGTACTCTTCTTACATACGGAAATCTCGACCCAAGACTAACCTTTGCCAGCCCTTAGTATAAATCTCATTTATATTATGATTTAGAAAGTGGCATTTTATTTTTTTTAAAACTTTATTATATTATTTAAAACGGGCCTATATTTATCACTCATCTAGATTTCTAATTCTTCAGTCTCCTCAAAGACTTCAAAACATATCCTATTATTTATATTATAATTTATCTTTTACGATTAATATGCATTTTTAATTTTATATTATAATTTTTTAGTGTTATACTAGAAACTTTTTCTTTTTTAAAAGTCTATAGGCTAGACGTACTAGGTATAGTAGGTATTGGAATATATTCTGCATTTAGCTTTTTTTTAATAGTAATTTAAAACTATTTTCAGTTTAGTTTATCAGTTCATCCTCTTCAGTAGATAAGCCGGTACAAAATCACTAAAAACAAGATGGCAGCCGTTCATAAGATGGCGTTGATTAATATCACCTGTCACCATCCTTTGAAGGTCTGTTTTAAAGAGGGTTTATTCAAAAGTGTTCTTGAACCGGCTTAGTTTATCTACTCTATTCAGTTTAGTTTACCAATAAAATATATAAAAAAATATATTTAGTGTCTCTATGTAGGAACCTAGTAAACAATAATTTAATAAAAATAATTACATTAATAATTTAACGGCCATTGTCTATACGTTTTGTGGAGACTTGCTGGCGTTTGGCTATACATACCACAGTTACAAAACCACTATTCTGATTTGTAGGTTGGGGCCAATTTTTTAACCAATTGGATTTAAAGTGGGTTTCGTTGTGTATATTTAAAATTGTAGGTAAATATGTTGTTTATATTTTTAATAAGCTATATGTCACTATGTATCCTTAATTTATTTTGACATATTTTATCTAAGATGTATGTACGATACATATACAGGCCTTGTCATCCTAAATGACCTAGATTTTAACTTGTATGATATCGATGTAGGTATTCTAATGGAAATCAACGTGTTAAAGGGAGATATAGACTAGGCTGATACATTTTTCCTATGTGGTATTGCCAGTTTTTAAATAAAATTTTTAATCTCAAGGAAGAAAGCATTCCGGATATTAATGCAGCAACAATTAAGGCCTCCACAGAGGCTCGGATTTTTCGCATAGGGCTAATCAGTAAAGGTACCATAGGTACGCCTCTGCTAATATAAGACAACTTATCCTATAATCTTTGTCTTACTCTGAAAATACAGACCAGAAATTTAGAATGGCCAGGCCGGTATAACTTGTATTTTCTAGAGTATTTTTGTGACGTCACGTGCATTACGCTGCATATGACCAGTGATAGTGATAGTTTCACTTCATTTTCTTTCTCTTCAATATGGGAAACGTAACAGTAAATAAATTAAGCTAGACTAAATTCATTTGTATACCGGGTGTGTCTCAAAAGTGGCTCACCTCTATAACTTTTTTATTTTTTTCAGATAAAAAACAGATTTGGTATGTTAGTATATGATATAAATTAGGATTGATCGATGTATTCAGTTATTTTTGGTCACTTCCTATTTCACTGGAGACTACAATTTTTGATTTTTAAATGACATTCTCGGCATTTTGTTACTTTAAGCTTGATTTTCATGCATCCGTTGTCCGACGATACGTTGATACGATATTAATTTTATTGGTAGAATTTAAAGACTTTGATTGGTTAGAAAATAACGCAGTTTTTAAATTTATTGCATTTTCATGTCTCCGTTTATCGGATATACGTTGGTGTCATTTTATATTTTCGTTTCCATAACGATTTTGCTATTTTACTTATATTTTTATTAAGGTTAGATTAAATTTGTCAAAAAAGTGTCAAAACGTCCGTTATCGTATGAACGGGTCCGTTGACGGACTGAAGTAAAATATTTACGGATGAAAAGTGGCGCGAAAAAGCTATGGCCAATCAGAGCACCGTCGGACCATCGTATCAACGTATAACGGATGCATGAAAATCAAGCTTAATTTGATGGAAAATGACGTATCATTTAAAAATCAAAAGTTGAAGTCATTTCCCGTTAAACAAGAAATGACCAAAAACAATTTAATACTTCACTCAATCCTAATTTATGTCATAGACTATAACATAACAAATCTCGTTTTTTTATCTAAAAAAAAGTTATAGGGATGAGCCACTTTTGAGGCAGTCAGGTCAGAGCTTGATCGAAAAGTGGGAGGAAATAATTTATAAATATATATCGGTATATATAGTGTACTTGTCAGATGACGTAATGCATCAAATTGAGGCAATTTTATTATAGTATACATGTATAGTCTGTCCAACGACTCAGGGGACATTTCGACAGGCGACTTCCAAAAAATAATAGAAAATACAATTTGACTCTGAACTGCAATGACAGTCACGACTGTCAGTGTCTGGAATTCTCTCGTGAGACAGACTATATATGGTATCGTGAATTTATTTACGATATTGCATGTTATAAAACATTTTTCATCAAATTTCGTTTGTTGATAGAAATTTACATAGTAATATTCCACATGTAATCAATTTCTGTGTTTGTAGTTATGGCATATATGGAAATGTTTGGAAATTGTTCCCACAGTAACGACCAGGAATACATGAGACAGTCTATGCATTTGGCGCAGTCTCATTGGTCGGGTTCTTCGGGATTATCCAGTACTCAATCGTGTTCGTTTAGCCATTCGTCGACTCACAGTTCCAGTCGAAGTTCACAGTCTCAAACACTGTGTTTACCACCACATTCCGCCACTGAAAGGTAATACAGAAGAAGAATATTCAAGGAGCTGCTTAGGAGCGTCCATTTAAATAAATACATTAAATAAAAAACTACATTATAATCTGCAAAGCTGTTATTTTTTGTTTTTTCCAGAGGTCCGTCTCCTTTACATTCCCCTAACCCGACAATTTCTTCATCGTCTAGTAACAGTTCAGTGGTTCCTCCTCTACCACCGAAGCAAAAAACGCGGAAATCTTCCTCCAAGTCACCTCCGCCTACTCCCACGTCGTTAACGCATCTACAGGAACCTAAAAGTGCAAGTCTAACACCTTCGCCCAATCAAATTAAAAGTTTACCCGACCTATTGGAACATACGGCCAGTATAGGAAATGACGAAAAATCGGAAGTTCCAGAGGTACGAGTATGTACAATTATTATTGTAGAGTGTTCAAAACATATGTAAATGATCTGCTCCACTTTTTTACATTATATTAGAAATTAACGAGAAACCATATCTGCAGAGCAGTGAATTTCCTACAAAACCATGAGTTGCCCGTATCATAATGATTTTTTGTTAACGAGTTATAAAATTCATAAGAAAAAAGAAAACTGCCTTAAAATAATCAAACTTCAAACTTTAATAATTTTCGAACGGTGGGGTTTACAAAAAAATTGTAAGAGACCTTTTTTGTAGAGAATTCAATTTCCTACAAATATGATATGAGATATTTTTTTCCAAATAGTGGATACCGAGATACGAATTTTTCTTTCTAATAATAAGGAAAAATAGAAAACTGAAAAGCGGAGGACCTTCCTATTAAAATTAAGAGCTCATACTTGGAGAGAATTTTTTGAGGTGTCTACCAACCTTTTTTTCAGAGTGTAAAGAGAAAAAAAATAGTCGATTTTTTTGACCCACCCTAATAAATCTTTACTAATACGAGCCCTAACAACTAAATGTTCGGACAAACAAAAATTTATTAAAAACCTTTATTTTTATTAACTGAATTATTTACATTTAAGAAATACATTAAAAATATATTAAAATCTAACATTTTTAATGAGTATTTAAATAGTTTAGTTTCTATAAACATTAAAATAAACTGTACGCCAATAAATAAACAAAAATATTGCACAAAATCGTGACAACTAAATGTTCGGACACTTTTAAAAAATAACTGTTCTAATATGGAGTTACATCGGCATGAACTTTTGCAACCACTGCAATCCTGTTTGGCATTGGGGTAACGGTTTCTTGGGGATCGTGGCACAATTTTTGTTTTGTTTTATGCCACATGTCGCGATAACATTAAGGTCCGGACTGTGAGAAGGCCATGAGGGGACCTCGATGTTCATGTCCCTAAACCATTTTTAGTAGTTTTAGCCGTATGGCGTGCCCCGCCATCCTGTTGAAATATAAAATTATTGTCCTGGTCTTTACCAGAACAATTGGTTACGAGGACCTTTGTCCTTCCCACTTGACACAAGAATATTTTTCAAAATTTTTTGATTTTTTGACGCATCAATTATGCCTTCCACCACCTCATACTTTTCTGGGCCTATTTTGGACATACACCTTCAAATCATAATGCCTTTAAAAAATGTCACTGTCCTTTTGAGGCAATCTTTATCAAATAGACACTCTAGCGGTGTTCGATTATATTTGTTATATTGATATTAAGGTGGCTCGTGCAGATGTAATTCGTGCACTTGCCATTTGCGATTGGAATTATTAGGGTCGGATTGGGAAATAATTAAATATTTTACCTTAATGTTATTTTTGTAGTTTGTGACATCAGAAGTTCCAATCCGACGCTGATAATTCTAATCGCAAACTGCAAATTCAAAAAGATTACATCTGCACGCATGCATGATCTTTATGAAAGATGGACAGTGGAATTTCTTAAAGACATTATGCTTTTAGAGTTTATGTCCGCAATGAGTCTAGGAAGGTATGAGGTGGTAGAAAGGCACAACTAATGTGTCAAAATATCAAGACAGTTTTCTGCCAAGTGCGAGAGACCTTTACCAGGATATGAATTTTATATTTCAACAGGATGGCGGGGCATGCCATACGACTAAAACTACTAAAAAATGGTTTAGGGACATGAACATCAAGGTCCCCTCATGGCCTTCTCACAGTCCGGACCTTAATGTTATCGAGACATGTGGCATAAAACAAAACAAAAATTGTGCCACGATCCCCAAGAAACCGTTACCCCAATGCCAAACAGGATTGCAGTGGTTGCAAAAGTTCATGCCGATGTAACTCCATATTAGAACAGTTATTTTTTAAAGTGTCCGAACATTTAGTTGTCACGATATTGTGCAATATTTTTGTTTATTTATTAGCCTACAGTTTATTTTAATGTTTATAGAAACTAAACTATTTAAATACTCATCAGAAATGTTAGATTTTAATATATTTTTAATGTATTTCTAAAATGTAAATAATTCAGTTAATGAAAATAAAGGTTTTTAATAAATTTTTGTTTGTCCGAACATTTAGTTGTTAGGGCTCGTATATAAAATCCTTAAGTGACTGACTCACTGATTAACCACGATCGTGCTCAAGCCACTCGACGTAAGAAGCTCAATTTTAGCATACAATACAGGTTGATTCTAGGGTGTAGAGGTTCGATTAGAAGGGATTTTTCGATATTCCAGTTCCAAGGGGTCACCACCTCTGAAATATTACAATATTTTTTATTTAAAAAACGGTCAAGTTTCCGAAAAAAACGCTTAAACACGTATATTTTATTTTGTTCTTTTTTACATATTTTAAGATTTTTTAAAAATGTATACAGGGTGTTTCGAAAAATCTGGTCATTTATTAATCACGATCCTGCTTAAAGCGCTTGACGTAAAAAACTGATTTTTGGTTCGATTAGAAACTCGAATTCTAAGGGGGTGAAACCATCCCTCAAATATTAGAATATTTTTTATTTAAAAACCGGTGAGTTTTTCGGAAAAACTCTTAAACACGTATATTTTATTTTGTTGTTTCACATATTTTAAGATTTTTTAAAAATTTATACAGGGTGTTTCATAAAATATGACCATTGCGTAATCACGATTCTGCTTAAACTGCTTGACGTTTAAAGCTGATTTTTGGCAAACGGATTGATTGTGGGGTGTAGAGGTTCGATAAGGAGGGGTTTCTCGATTGATTTTTCTCATGCATAAATGTGAAAAAATTCTATCCAGTTTGTATGTTAATGGAAATTCTTGCTTTGCTTTATCATCACCATTACAATTTGATGCGAACGAAGTCGCGGGTACACGCTAGTATAAATATATTCCTATTTCAGATAATAATTTATTAATGTTAAATGCTTTTTTACAGGTGAGTTTAGTTGATGTTGACTTAATGGAAGAACTGAATGTGGATAAGTATCTCATTAAGAAAAAATCTGAAGAGGATGGTCCAGAAATAAGAGGTGGAAGCATAGACGCTTTGATTATACAAGCCACTAAAGCCACTAAGAATGGAGGTATGTCATTTATATTTTCAGTTGTTTTATAGAGTGTTATATCGAATTGTTATAAAACATATTTACATACAAAAAAAGTAAAATATTAAAGTAATGCGTCATTTTTTGGTGTAACAGTTGCTGAAGAAATGGAACCTGGTATGTAACTGTATTGCATTTATAGCATATCTAAACCCTCTTTCTTTCTTCTTTTAGATGTCTAGTACTTCGATTAGCACAGTATACTTTAGGCACAGCTTTTTCAATATCGCTATAGCATTAACTGTACATATTTTCAAGATTTTGTGCATTATTTGGTGCGCATATACCTCTTCCACCATCTACATATATAGCATACATAATGTACATAAGACAGAGATAGAAATATCTGTAGATGGGCGTACAGTATAGGCTTTCTTAATCCAGAACAAGCTGTATTGAATTTGTTGTGCTTTTGGTTTTAGTAGCAGCCTATTGATAGAAAAGAAATCTTTTTTATTGGCCCTGTATCTAATACATAATATAATGTTGAGACAGATTACAGAATAATATCTCCGTGGTTTGAAATAAGAGTGAGCTGAGTCATTTAATTTTTATTTATTATATTATTTGTTACTATAACCTCAGTATACTGTGCATTTAGTATAATCTTTGTCTTAATTCCTTTTTCTTCTCTGTCTAAACCGATACATTTATCAGCTTGACAGTCTTTATAATCAAGGTGTTTGTCAACATCTAAACCTACTTTTTACTCAGTCAGTAAAAGGCTTGAACAACACACATGTATTTAACTACATAATATTCAAGTATATTGTTTTATTAGGAGTAAAAATGACACTTTTTGTGACGAGGCTGTACGTTTGACTATAAGTACTACATACAGCCAAGGCACGAAGAGTCATTTTTACTACGAATAGAACATGCTATTTTTTTCTCCACGCCACAAATAAATTTTTAAACAATTTCAAACGTTCCAAATTATATATCGAGAAGCTATGGTTACGCTCGTTGAATTTGACACTTTATGTCAGTTTAATAACATATTTTCGTAATTTTATGCTTAGGCGTAAAAGTGCTTTACTTTTATGCCTAGGCGTTAAAATTACTTTTCTATATTGTCAGTCACGTCGCAAAAATAAATACTTTTGTGACGTTTGAAAAAAAAACTATTTTTTAGGATATACCTGTTCAGTAAAAGGACTACAGAAGGAGTATATCAACAAAAATTAGCGAGACCGCGAAGGTATTGTAGTATTGCTGACCTATATTGGGGCGACTTATCAGTGGCATTCTATTTTTTTAATGTCTTAAATTACTAATATAAAATTCTTAGAGTTCAATAGGTTTGTTGAATTAATGTAAAGTGTTCAAAAAGTGTATAATTGATCTGCGCCCCTTAATTTACATTAAATTATCAGAATTTTTTAACCACAGTCCCATAATAATAAATTTACCGATTTATAATTAATTTTAAGTATTGTTTGTTTTTACATAATCGTACACCGGTATCGACTTAATCTGCGTTTTTTCATTTAATTGATTGATTGATTTTTGATAAGACACTCAAATGAATTTTATAAATATTGATAATTATTAACTATTTTATTTATCTTTAGTCTATTTGTCAAAATATAGCGTGTCCCATAATTTTGGACGCAGAAAAAATATTTTAAGTTTCTGAGAATTTTTTATATTCTTGCATTTAATATGTGTATACTTTTTAAACTAGTGTGTATAGCGAATAAATATGCGATTTCGACAGTTAGGATATGAACACAAACTACCATCACATCGAGCTTCAACATATACGCAATATATATCCAGGGTTCCACCAACAGAACACACCATTTTGTTTGTCTTGGGATTGTTATTTTTTGCATTAGCGTTTTTTCCTTAGAAGGTTATAACTTTTTGGATATGCTACAATTTTTGATAGAATAGTAACTGTTTTATTAATCTTAAAACAGGCTGTTCCTTGATAATTAGTCAATATGCATACATATAATAATTATAAATAAACTAGTTTATGCATAACCCTCCTTGGCATCATAGGAGGGATGAGTTCTAGAGTAGTTAACCCTTTTAGACCGTTTTAGGACTAACTCATAGTCATAGAATTTTTTTTTGTATAAACAATAGCATAAATATGTCGACTACTATAATATGTGAACTTCATAATTTTATATTTTGTCCAACACAATATTGCAGAAGATCAAAAGGCTGAACTAATTTCCATGATGTTTTGATGCACACAGTAATGCAAATAATTTGATGCAAAATTTATTGGCCAGACGATTTTGTATCTCAATTTGATATTTATTTATCACTGTATAGTTGAATGAATATTTTCTTTTATAGTATTTGCATATCAAGAGGCTTTCTTAACAACTTATCGGACATTCATAAGCCCCTTTGAGTTAATAAAAAAGCTGATCAGAAGATACAACCATTTCTACTATCAGCAGGATAAGAAACCAAGATCGAGGGAGGCGTTTGCCCTTATAGTTCGGGTTGTGAGCGATTTAACGTAAGGAGAGATAGAAAACTATAATTTTTTATAACTTTTGTTTTAAATTATTAAAACTATTTTAGAAATTTGGACTTGGATGAGCATTTAATTCATAAACTAACAAGTTTTGTTCAGCATTTAATTTCTTGTGGAGAATTAATACTAGCCAAAGCCTTAAGGGTGAAATTTTTGGAAAGACATGCTACTAAGCAAGTAACAGTCGGGTAAGAGATACAGCTACCAAAATAATCTATTTATTTCTGACTGTGTTAACTTTGTTTTGTAGGTACCCAAATATTATCAGTAGTCTTTCATTAAGTGCCAGAACTTCAACTTTGTTAGATTTTAAATCTGAACATATAGCAGAACAAATGACACTGTTGGATTCTAAATTATTTATGAAAATAGAAATACCGGAAGTGCTAATATGGGCACAAGAACAAAACGAAGAGAGAAGTCCGAACTTGACTAGGTTTACTGAACATTTCAACAAAATGTCGTATTGGTGAGTATGTGCACATTTTATAAGTTTTCCAGGATATGCTTGTCACACAGAACAAAAAAAAGCTAAACAATATTTTTCAACAAATAAGTATTAAATAACCAAATGTTATTTAATACTTATTTTATTATTACTAGGGCAAGGACAAGAATTCTTACAGCAGAAACCAAAGAGATTCGAGAGAAGTATTTCATGAAGTTTATCAAGATCATGAAACACCTGAGGAAAATGAACAATTTCAATTCGTATTTGGCTCTCTTAAGTGCATTAGATTCGGCTCCGGTGCGACGGCTGGAGTGGCAGAAACACATCCAAGAGGGACTGAAAGAGTACTGCGCTTTGATAGATAGCAGTTCCAGTTTTAGGGCATATAGAAGTGCTTTGGCCGAAACACAGCCTCCATGTATCCCGTATATGTAAGTACTTTTTTTGTACAGAAAAAAACACATGTATAGTCTGTCCAACGACAAGATCCTTGACAGTGATAGATGTGTCTGTCATTTTAATTTCAAAATAGTTTATTTTATTTTTAAAAGAAACGAGTTGGTACAACTGGAACACACAGCAGGAAATTAATATATTATTTAAAATTTGACTGATAAGTGATTACTTCAAAATTTTGTAAAAAAACTGTATAACACTGAAAAAATGTAATCGAGTTATTTTTATTTAAAAAAAAAAACGGTATGTGTTAATACAAAACAAACAAGACATACCAAAAAATCTAAAAAAGAACTATTTCTTACTTTCAAGCTTCAAGAAACTTCGCCCATTTATTATTATATTTATCAATATAACTTATGTACAAATACAAATTTGTAATATTCCACAGGAATAAATAAAACAAACTATTTTATTAATAATAACACTTACCAAAATTTATACCTTAAAGGTTGATTAATTAACTTTAATCTTAATTTTTTTAAACCAGTACCTTTTGACATTATTTTTCTGCACTACTAAAATCCATTATTTACCTATCGTGTGATGTCGATATTTTACAGCTACTCCGGTAGTATATGTTTAGTACGATGCTTGTAGCATATATGAGATGCACTTATCTACGAAGAGATGGTATACAAACTTTATTGATGGTAACTTTATTGGTGTATAAGACTTGGAAGGGCAGCGAATATTAATTATAAACTGTGCTATGGGTCTACAGTAAATTTTCCCTCGATTTTTCCTCCACTTTACTTAAAAAGACACAAAACATACGTAATAACACGAATCAAAATGCATCATCTTCTAAAACGCAGATATTTGACATAAGTTGATACAAAATTATAACCTAAAATTTAGCAGACTTTGACAAGCCTCAAAAATCTAAAGGCGAGTTCATACGCATCGGCGTCCGTTTGTCGTTCATCGTTCCGTCAAACCAATAAAATTCAAATATGATCTGTCATTTTTGAAATAAACCAATAAAACCGGTTAAAAACAACAAGAGACGACGTATGACGGATTTATATTTAAACCCATCCATAGTTAACTTAAAAAAATATTAGAAACTTTTTTTCGAAAATAGATTGGTATGTGACGTCATGTGTTTTTTTTTCTGTCATCGTCTGTCGAAATCTTACCTGAGAAAAAAACAGAGTATATTCAAATTCCGTGAGGAAAATGGGGAAACACAACATGGTTTGCTTTGCCATGTGCCATTATCTTTGGTGCGGCAGATGTCGGAGATAGAGAGCTGGCTTGGTCCGTCTCAGATACTGGCTTTTGTCGAAGCCCTGAGAGTGTATGACAAGTTATAACTCGTTATAACCCAAGAATTAGTGTCTTTATCTTTAAGAGACAGACTCTGTTCTTCGTTGCACTACTCCTATTTTTCTAGTGATAGTCGTTTTCAGTTAGTAGAAAAAGTTAAGCTTCATTTAGAACCTCGCAATTAGTGAAATAAATTAGTGGTTTCAATTACACTTTATACTTTTTAGTTTACACAATTAAAATTAATAGAATATCCTAGCAATAGCTTGCGTTAGTCGGTTGTATCCATAGAGAAAGCCTAATATTTAGCTTATAGAACAATCAACTTCTGATTTCTAACTACAATTTCTCTTGACAGAAGATAATCAAAGGCCAAAATGACATTCCCCGCAAATTTTGAAGTATAATTAGTGGAAAAAAAACTTTTCTACTAATTGAAAATCTACCACTAATTTTGACGATCTGAATGCTTACATTGTAATTAAACTTCTACGCTAATTGAAACCACTAATTTATTCCACTTATTGCGAGGTTCTAAATGAAGCTTTAGAGTTTCAGCACCGGATGTCAGACCGGAATACATGTCTTAATTTGTCAACCCACACCAATTTTTGCCTAGTGTCTCAAAAGCAACAGGATAAACTAATGATGTTTGTCAAGTTATCTCAATATCTATTATTGTTATTATCTTCCCACTTTTTATCTTTTTCTAACATGTTTGAAATTTTCATTAGAGTAATGCTCAAATCGAGATCACCGATTTCGGATGGTTAAGTTCATTCTATCTTCAAAAACGTTTTTTTTTATAAATTATACTTTTTCTATGGTCAATTTTCATACTTTTTTCTTTTTTTTTCAGTGGATTGGTGTTACAAGATTTGACTTTTGTACATATAGGAAATACAAACTTGTTACCTGATGGTTCCATAAATTTTTCAAAAAGATGGCAGCAGTTTAATATTGTCGAAAATATGAAGAAATTTAAGAAAGAGTAAGTAAATATTTTGGTTTAAAACGTTTTGTTATCTAATCGTTATCAGTAATATTATTTATACTATTACATACAGTATGTCCGCGGATTGTCTTTACAAAAGGTAAAACTTTTTTATTATTAGCATTTTGAAAAAAATGCATCCTTTATAAAAAATTTTGCTTCTTCTAAAATGGTTAACCCCGTTTATACTTTTCCAAATTTTCATACCGTTGTAGAGAAAATTAAAAAAAACGCATAAAAATATAGTTTCCGTCGTACTTTGTCGAAACTTTTCGGTATGTAATTTGTTTTACTATACCGGGTGCGTCTCAAAAGTGGCTCATCCCTATAACTTTTTTATTTATTCAGATAAAAATACGAAATTTAGTATGTCAGTATATGACATAAATTAGGATGGATTGATGTATTCAATTGTTTTCGGCCACTTTCTGTTTCACCGGAAATGTCTACAACTTTTGATTTTTAAATGGCACCATCAGTATTTTGTTACTTTATTCGATAGAAAATGACATTCTGGATAGAATGACATATCATATGTCAGTTTTGACACTTTCAAATTTTTTTTTAAAATTGACTTTTAAATTTCAATCTAGAGTGCCAAGGCTGTGTTAAAAACACTAATTTTTAATCAAGGAGCCTTGGAAAATTATATTTGATCGTCTAATGTTTTTAGTGTTTTTTATTGACTAGTTAAAAGATGCCCAAATCGTACTTTTAATCATATCTCAATTTTTTCAAATGGAACTAGTGATGGGCAAAACTGTTATTTTTAGATAACAGTTGAAACTGTTATAGTTATTTATAAAAAACAGCTTAAAATAACAGCTTAAAAATAACAGGTTTCTTTATTTTATTGCTAAATATCTGAAAGAATATGAGGCGGTCACGGCCAGGCGTATTAACGCAGTTGCAACAATGACGTGCTCGGTGGTAGTATTTCCAGGGTGTCATAACATTTCTAAATATCGATTGTTATCTAAAATACCTCTTTAAAAACGGGGGTTGTTTACAAATAAGCGCTGTTTACAAATTGCGATATAAAAAAGCCAAAATGCCGCCACTCGTCTATATCTATAAATTCCGATCTACCTACGCCCTACCCCTCGATCCGCGTAGATTCTGAATTGCGTAGCAGTGTACAGGGTGCATCTCACTCGACGGGCGAGAAGCTCTTCGTTATGATTTTACCATTGCGGTCAAAAAAATAGCAATATAAGAAAATGTGTAGTATATTCTTCATAAGTAAACCAACTACACACTAGAGTTCGAATTAATTTTACACTTAAACTAGCATGTACAGTTTGACAAATATAGGAAGAGACTTAGGGATAGCACCGGTCGCGCACACGATAGAGAGAGAACGCATTCGGCGGAAGAGAGATGCAGTTACGCTACGAAAAATCTGATTGAAGCAAATTTGTGGGCGTCTCTTATTTTATATTTCTCACGTCTCTAGCTATACTTGTTAAGTTGTACCCGCGACTTCGTTCGCATCGAATTATTAATTTGTAATGGTGATGATAAAGCAAAGCAAGAATTTCCATTAACATACAAACTGGATAAAATTTTCTCACATTTGCCAAAATATGCTTTAAACGTCTAGCAGTTTAAGCAGAATCGTGGTTAATCAATTACTCAACTTTTGGAACACCCTGTATTATTTTTTAAAATTTCAAAAATATGTAAAAAACAAAATAAATTATGCGTGTCCAATCGTTTTCCCGAAAGACTAACCGTTTTTAAATAATAAATATTGTAATATTTGAGGGGCGTTTTCACCCTCTTGGAATTTGAGATTCGAGAAACCCCTCCTTATCGCACCTCTACACCCCACAGTCAATCCGTTTACCAAAAATCAGCTTTAAACGTCAAGCAGTTTAAGCAGAATAGTGATTACTCAGTGGTCATATTTTATGAAACACCCTGTATATATTTTGTAAAAATCTCAAAATATGTAAAACAACAAAATAAAATATACGTGTTTAAGAGTTTTTTTCGAAAAACTCACCAGTTTTTAAATAAAAAATATTCTAATATTTGAGGGTGGTTTCACCCCCTTAGAATTTGAGTTTCGAAAAATCCCTTCTTATCGCACCTCTACACCCTAAAGTCAATCCGTTTTCCAAAAATCAGCTTTTTACGTCAAGGGCAGGATCGTGATTAATCAATGACCAGATTTTTCAAAACACCCTGTATACATTTTTAAAAAATCTTAAAATATTATTCTGAAAATTTTTCAGAATAAATAATTCTGAAAATTTTTCAGAATAAATAATTCTGAAAATTTTTCAGAATAAATAAATACTTAAATATTGAAACTTAATAACAAAGTATTGAAACATACAGCGCCATAATATCTCGACCTCCGCCCGTTATGCTCGTAACAGGTTGAAAAACAATATGTATCTAAAACAACTGATGCGTTATTCTCCAACCTGTTTCAAACCTCCGATTATCTCGAACGCCGTTCTGTTATGCTCGTAACAGGTAAAAAAACAACATAGCTAAAACAACTGATGCGTTATTCTCCAACCCGTTGCGAGCCTCCATCGACAATCGACCGATGCAGCAGCGCTCCTTTCCCACTCCTGTTATCTCGACAGCCAGGCGTTATGCCCGCAACTGTTTCAAAAAAGCTGCTTCTTTAAAAACCTATTATTTTAAGCTGTTGTCAGCCCAACACGACGCGCCGCGCCGTAGCGCATACCCCACTCCGTTGTCCGTTGTATCTCGCCGCCTGTATCGATGGTTGTCGAAATAATAGGTTTTCCATCCATACTAGTTGTTTTTGGAATTGCTTCGAGCAGCATCGAATTTCGTGGCGGTGCAGAGCGCCGACTTCGTTTCACGAACACTCGATCTCTGCGTGTCGTTATTTTATATCTGTTATTTTTTAAAAGCAGTAACGGTTGCGTTATGTTATTTCTAAATAATTGTTATAAAATAACAGATAGTTAAATAACAACCCATCAATAAATGGAACGAGGGTGGCTAATTAATAGTATTTTTTTACGAATAATTTGGTACTACACACTTCATATTTCGAGTGAAATTGTCGTTATGAATCACAAGTTGCAATTTCAAATAAACCATATTCGAAAATATCAAAAGTTGACATATGAGTGTCATTTTCTATCGAATAAAAAACAATATACCGAAGTTGCTATTTAAAATCAAAAGTTGTATTAATTTCCGGTGAAACAGGAAGTGGCCGAAAACAATTGAATACGTCAATTAATCCTAATTTATGTCATATATTAATATACCAAATCTCGTATTTTTATCTGAAAAAATAAAAAAGTTGTAGGGATGTGAGACACACCTACCTGTTGGTGTGCGTTTCACCACTGAGCCACTTATGATACGCACCCGGTAGATACCAATCACTAATCCCAAAATCTTCTAACAAACTTTTGCCAACTATTTCATTCATTGTGGATCACTCCGTATTATTAACAGCTAAGTCACGATTATTTTTGATACATTTTTTTGTATATTTCGAGGTTTTAACATGTATCTGGATATCGAGAAAAATAACACGTGATAACTGACAGTTTTAAATGTATCTGAAAATAATTCTTATTGATTTAATTATTTAATTTAAAATCATGAATATTTAAAAAGTAATTAAAGGAATTTTTTGATGTTTTCGAGTATATTCACCAAGAAAAATTCCGTTTCAGAACATACACCTTCAAAAAGAACGAAAAAATAATTCAATTTTTCGAAAACTTCAACGACTTTATCGTGGAAGACGCCATGTGGAAACTGTCCGAAAAGATTAAACCCAGAGGCGGCAAAAAGACATTTTAAGGGACCGTAATTTTTAAGGAGACTATTTTTTCTGTTGTATGCCGCAACGAAATTACGATAAAACACGTTTTGTTTCATTTCGCAAACTTAGACCGTTAAGCTTGCGGATAAAACATTTTTTGGCCCATGGTTTAAAGGTAGAAAAATCAGCTCCTATAGCAATACTGTAATCGATTTTGTGCAATTACTATTTTAATTAGGAAGTAAGGTTACAAACACATCCATCACATACTTATACACATGTCTTTGTGATGATGAAGAATGAGATATACAGGGTGGTCCGAACTGTATCCCGGAAACTTGGGCAGAATATTCTGAGATAAAAATAAGTAAAAAAGGTTGTATAAACTTATGTCCTAAAATGCTTAGTGCCGAATATACAGGGTGAAGAAGTTTCTTTTTTATTTCGATTTTTTCCAAATAATTTCTGACGTAACGTCAATATTTGGATGAAAATTGGTGCCTGGGAATTTTTTGACATGCGAATTTTGATTTTGATATCAATATGACTCCTACTTGTAGAGGGCGCCACTTACATATTTTTTAACTGGTTTGAAGAGTAATAACTTTTCGTCCGTACCTGTATCAAACTACTGAGTAAAAAATATACATTTATGACGTTTTTTACGTAGAAAACGTCTCTTGGTAAAAATCGCTACGAGTAATGGTTCTGGATATATTTGGAATCGAAATTATCAATACCTGTCGTCATTGGCATTAATTAAATATATTATTAGATCGAAATCATAAATTTGAAATATTTTTGTGCCAAAAGTTCAACAGAAACTATTATGATTAATTTAAAAAAATAAATAGTTCCCAAATTTATCATTTTAGTCAAATAACTATCTGTATACGTATTGACTATTTCCATTCTACACCTTGAGCTCGTAGCGATTTTTACCAAGAGACATTTTTTAAAAATAAACATCACGGAAATTTATATTTTTTCACCCAGTAGTTTTATACAGGTACGGACAAAAAGTTATTACTCTTTAAAACAGTTAAAAAATGTATAGGTGGCGCCCTCTACAAGTAGTAGTTATATTTATACCAAAATCAAATTTCCCATGTCAAAAAACACCCAGACAGCAATTTTTATCTAAATATTGACGTTACTTCAGGAATTATTTGGAAAAAATCGAAATAAAAGTTAAACTTCTATACCTTGTGTCTCCGAAACTAAGCATTTTACATAATACAGTTCGGACCACCCTGTATATGAGATGATATGATCGAGTAATAACGAATACAAAATCAAAAAAAATATGAGTTAATCTACTAGAAGTATTTCTAGAAATATAAATAGTAAATCTAATTTAGAACAAAACGTGAAAATCTTATGAACCTATAGAGAAATAGGCTTAACCAAATTTATAAATATTAACTGTAGTGTGTTATATTTGATTTCTAGATATACTTTTAGTAGGAGCTCGCCTTTGAAGGAAACCCCTTTAAGTTTGCGTGTATCGGCAGCTTTAGAAGTATTTAAAAATGTCAATAAATGCAGGATCCATGATTACATAATATTCTTCATAACTAATACTTATGTTTTTGATATAAATCTGATTTTTTGGAGGTTATAATTTGCGGAACATCGCCATTAAACTAAATACTTCAAAGTAACAAATATTTCATTATTTGTAGTAACAGTCACCGAATTATAAATAACTGCTTTTCCAACCTACCAGCGTATATTTATTAGCTTTTCAGGTTATGCTTTTTATTTATTAACACAAACATCCGATACGCTACTGAAGTAGGTATGTCAAATTGACGTATCTAAATTCTTTGACATCTAATCTTTGACAAGTAGTGAATAAAAGCAAAAATGCAAGAAAAAATATATAATTAATTAATTTTAAGTGAGTTTCATAAATGATCGGTTTACTACACGTATGTATATTATATAGTCACTTACTATATATTTCCCTCGATTTTTGACCAAGATCTACCGCACGCTACACAACCAACTATTTTACAGTCTTTTTCGATAAATCGCAATAGTGTCACTGTTAATTTAAGTTCTGCTATAATTTCCTTCTAGATCTACTACCTTTAAACAACTTATCAATAGTAGAATAAATAATAAATAACATATAATAAGCTCAGTAAGGACTGGCAAATCCACAAAATTTCAAATCAGATTCAAATGTCTCAAATTAATCGTCAAACAGAACTGTCAAGGATCCACAACTTTTGTCCGTCTACCTTGCATGGGTACATGGATAGCATTATACTCCATCCTTAATAATTTTATTCAAATCATAGAATATAGCCACAGATATTAACTAGTTATGTACTTCGCATTTTTCTCTCTCTGACTTACAAAAATACCATAGATTCGCTACTTGACATGTAAATGTCGACCCAAGACTCCTTGCTGATATGGTAATTATACCTTTAATGTGTAATGACGTAAATTACTCTGTACTGCCTGGACTGTCAAAATCTTCAATGACACACAGAGTAAAGGTTAACCTGGAAAAGTGTTTGATTTAATGGCGATATTTCTGATAATTATCCTTTTTATAACAGTTATTTAAAGTCCTTTGAAGTTCTATATTAACTTTTTTTATCACGATCGATTAAATATCACATCCTGCATTTTTAATAAAGTATTTTCTGGATTTCTGTAATAAGACTGATATATTTGGTGTTTTATTATAGGACATATACTGTACGATTTCCCATTAATTGATCTAAAATAGAAATAAATAACAGGCATTCACACTCCGAACTCCGAATAAGACCGACGTATTATGTTTGTGTAATTATTTTTCGAGTCAATCAACTAAAATTCAAATGTGCTTACCATAAGGATTTTAATCTCAAACTTTACATCATACTAAATTTACTACAAGAATTGTCTTTCAACTTAAATATAATGTTAGGATAAAAATGTAAACATATTTAACGTTATAGTCGTATTTTTGTTACAAAACGATTAAAAAAATGACATTATAATTATAAAAATTAAAATATATACAGGGTGATTCCTGTAAGTCGGTCATGCTTTCGAGGAATGATAGGGGACATGAAATATTAATTTTGATATAGTACACTATGGGTCGGAAATGCCTCTTACGCAAGATACAGGGTGTTAAAGTTTTTGAAAATTTAAAGATATTCTTTAATAGTTTTTTAACAGTTGAAGGTATCGTTATAAAATTTCATTATAGGAATCTACCTAACAGAGACACTTTAAATGTAAAAAGAAGAGGTTTTAGTTTCAACCAGTGGCATAGATGTGATACGCATCGGGTAATTTTTTCAAAAAATTATTAGTACGCCACTGATAAAAATAAAATTTCGGAGTTTTTTTATTTACTTACATTTTGTCACAATTTAAAAATAAATAAATTTTTAATGAGAATCGTAAATACAGCGAATTATAACTAGAGGACAGAAACACAATGTGCATCGTTAGCTCCCTTCATCTTGGGTAACTTTAGTACTTTTTACTATTAGCTCTAAATAAATTTTTAAAAAATTATAAATTTAAATTAGAATGTTTTTTTATTGTTAATAATAAAATTCGTAGTTTTAAGGTAGTTATAATAATTCGGCATATTTAAGGTTCTCATTAAAAAAATATTTATTTTTAAATTGTGGTGTTAGAACTAACACCACAAAATGGTGTTAGATAGAAGAAAGTTGCAAGAGACATTTTTTCTTGGAAATAAACCGAGTAGTTTTTTTTGAAAAAATTACCCGATGCGTATCACGTCTACGCCACTGGTTGAAACTAAAACCTCTGCTTTTTACATTTAAAGTGTCTCTGTTAGGTAGATTCCTATAATGAAATTTTATAATTATAAGGATACCTTCAACTGTTAAAAAACTATTAAAGAATTTCTTTAATTTTTCAAAAACTTTAACACCCTGTATCTTGCGTAAGAGGCATTTCCGACCCATAGTGTGCTATATAAAAATTAATATTTCGACGTCCCCTATCGTTCCTCGAAAGCATGACCGACTTACAGGAATCACCCTGTATATATTGCTTTAGATAGTGATTACGAAAATACGTACATTCATTGAATTTATGTTGGAAAATGTTAATACCCATATATTTTGTAACAAAAATATTTCACTATAACGGTAATAAATTAAAAAGTGCAGTATTAAGAAACAATTTAATGAAAAGCTTTAGGTCGTATTAAATATTCGTTTTCGGGTTGATTTAAAGTGAACAGGTATAAAAATGGTCAAATTTCTTACGTACTGTATATTTTTTGAGCGTTTAATGATAAAGATTATACAAAATGGCAAAATATCAATTTAAATCAAACTGAAATCGAATGAAATAATTTTTCGCACTTAAGAAATTGCTTCTAGTCATTAAAGTAAATTAAAAAAATCCTAAAAAAATAAATTTTACGAAATATTTTATTGATATTATTATTATTAATCTAATAGCGTACTGTGAAAAGATGACTTGCGGAAAATAAATTTTAATTTTGAGAAATAAACTTTTTTAGTCGGGCATTTTTGAAATAGAGGATTTATCTTTATAAAACCCTTTTTTGCATCGAGATTATGAGATTAATTGACTTAATTTTATTTGGTTAAATCTTGCCCTAGACTCCTAGACTAAAGCTTGATTTTCATACATCCGTTATCGGACGATACGATGATACGATATTAATTTTATTGGTTGAATTTAAAGAATTCGATTGGTTAGAAAATTACGCAGTTTTTAAATTTATTGCATTTTCATGCCTCCGATTATCGGATATACCATTTGCTTGTCATTGGTGTCATTTTATATTTTCATTTCCATAACGATTTCGCTTTTTCACTTATAGTCTAAGATATCTAATATATCTTTTGCTATACTCTCCTGACCAAAGTGCGGGCCGTCTGGCTGCCGGTAGACTACTGCGCATCACATGTCTACAGGGTATCCCATTTTCATGGTGTTTATGGGATTTCTCGTTTATGAGTAGAGATACAATGATGCGATTTTCACATTACTTTGCTACTTTTTATGAAACTAAATATGCTACACATATGTTTGTCCTAGCCTTCTTAGTTCCTGAAATACAGGGCGAATTTGTGATGCGCAGTAGTGAACAGTCAACAATTGAATACAGATATAATGCGCAGTAGAGAATGGCGAAATCGTTATGGAAATGAAAATATAAAATTACACCAATGACAAGCAAATTGAATATCCGATGAACGGAGGCAAGAATATACAAGAAATTTAAAAACTGCGTAATTTTCTAACCAAAGTCTTTAAATTCAACTAATAAAATTAATATCGTATCTTCGGATAACGGTTGCATGAAAATCAAGCTTATTCGACTATTTTGCTCTTGCCTTTCAAGAAATTTCGCGAGTAAAATTCAAAATGAAAAATTCACATTCAATAACTTGTATTACGTGTGTAATT